CGTTTCCTATTCCGGGAGCTGTCCACTCTATCATACAGTCCAATCACTCTTAAAACCAAAATACTATATCATGAAACCTACCCTATGCGTGCGTGTCTGTGTTGCACTTCAGATAGTTGTTGGATGTTTTGGACGTGGGTTCACAGTGTGGTCCTGCCCACTCCCTCTATACAATAAATAGGGAGTGGGCAAAACTATTTCGCGGTCTGGAAATTGTTCAAACAATAGATGGCTTTCTTTTCTTTTCAGTCATCAGTCTTAACAAATACCGTACATAGATACCTCTCCCCTGCCTCGAGCGTAGATGAGAATGCAGTGCTTGCCGTGAACAGACTGTAAGACTTAACGTTCTCTTTCTCTGACAGCCACTCTCAATTCCTATAAATGAATGAAATCCAATCGCAGTCACTTTGGGGGGTAATTTTCCATCAAATACATTCACCACCCACTTCATCGGCACACCTGAGCTATGTATGAAGATCCTACACAAGCTCAATCTTGTCTTTACAAAATAAATAATGGTTAGTTGTGATTGATGCTGTCAGAGGGGATTAACATTTTTTTTGTACTCTCAAATGTGAAGTCTTCAGCATACCCATCGATCTATCTAGCTATCTAGCTAGCTATCCATCTAACTAGCTAGCTAGCGATCCATCTAGCTGGCTAGCTTGCTTAAAAAGTGGTGTGGATACAGTACCATGTAAATAAGCAAAATTGTGTTGGCAAAATTCAGAACAGTTTGCTCATAGAAACCAGAAATAGGCAGCTAACTAATTTACTTTGGTTGTTTAGTTTCACACTTTATGAGGAGGCAGCTACACGTGGGATCAAAATTTGAGTACTGTACAAGGAAATACAATTTAAAATTCCCATAATATGCCCTCTTTAAGCTACTAAAGCACTGATTGGCATACAAACATTTCACCTGCTTAGTGCAACTCGCAAATCACGCTGAGTGACGAGCCCCAGGTCAAATATTTTTCTTTTTAATCATCATAGAAGGCGTCATTCAGTATCTATCCAAAAGTAATTTTCAGCCTGAGCTGTCATAACAATTCATCATGCGGCTGCTGTGGACACACACACAAAAAAAAAAAAAACATTCACAAGTCAATGCAGAAAACATCTGATTGCAACATACGAACTAACATGTTTTTTTTCTTTGATAGATTGATGATGAAGAGTCAGAGGTTCAGTTTAGTTTACTCGATTCCCTGTGTTTGCATCTCTCCGCCTCCTCTGCTCTCCATCTTCTAAGATAACAAGGGTTTCTGTTCTCTCCAAAATCCTTATCTCTTGATTTCCACATATCAATCACCGCCTTTTCGACTCTCTGTCGCTTCCTCATGCGGCCTGACTCATTTTTAATCTGGATTAGGAACCCAGACGAGTATCCCTGAAGTGTTTCATCTTGCATCTCTATCATCGAGTTTTTTCCTCTCTTACCAGTAGTCAGCTGTATCATCAGGATTTATTGGTGAGCAACGGGAGCCGTGGCGTTGTCACGGAATCTGTGGGCGATTGCGTCTGTGCACGCTTCTATATTTTGCAACAAACACCCTAATCTTTCCATTTTATCTCCCTCTTGTTCCCAAAACATGCAAATCCAGGCTTGCATAAATGAGGCAGCAGACAGTTCAAGTCAGTGTGATCCTTTAAAACAGCAAAGAGACTTTGGAGAAAATGAAACCTTTTATGCAACTTCTCTTTTTTTTTTTTTTTTTTTTGCTTGCCGAAAATATCTCTTGGAATGTTAAATCGAATGTGGTTCCCCACCCATGTCCAATCTGCATCCTAGCTGACAATATCAGAACTAGAATGGCACTGCAGCCTTATTTAAGACTTTCCTGACAGCGCTGAATGTAAAAAAAAAAAAAGATGGGCAGATCAACTTCTTAAGATATTTAATCCGTCCCTGCTTGTTCTGCCTTGAGGCATGCATGCGTTTTGGATCCAAGACAGCGCACACAGTCTTTCAGAGCTGCTCAGAGGAAGTCGTCCATGATTTAAGAGCCATCGCCAATGTCGAAGAATAGAGGTCACCTGCCTTCGTACAGTCTAAAGCAGTTTGTGCCGATAAGTTGTCAGAAGGACGGGTTGGGAAGTGTGGCTTTAAATCATGAATAAAACACAGCAAAGTGGGTCTTTGCTCTTGAATAGTTTTTAAATAAAATATAGCATATTGCCTCACATTGTGGTCGCTGTATCGTGTAGGTGTTAAGTGTGCAAATGCATGTTTATCGTAATGCTCAATTATAACACATGTGCCTATTGGAGATGTGAAAATGTTTCAGTCAAGAAAGAGGAGCCGTTTCATTGATGTCGCCAATGCGTTTATTTGTCCTGAAAACGAAGACGCTGCAGCTCACCACGACCAAACTTGAATGCCAACATGTACGCTGTCGCTCTTTTAGAGAACAGTCTTCTCACTCACAAGTAATCCATCTGTACAAGAACTTTATCTCTCTGCCAAGAAAACCTTGAATATAAATAGTAAAAAGAAAGAAAACAATCCGGAACGTGAATTCTTAAGCCACTGAACGTACATCGTGTCAAAAATAGCACGTACTCAACAACGGTAGAATAACAGAGCATTCTGTAAAACAGAATATCTACCTTCAACATACTTTAAATGTAAAGTGCACAATGAGTGTCATCTGGAAAATGGAACCATATAGTCACTCTAACATACAGTACAATGTCCCTGCACATACAATACCTGTAATGATGTTAGATCTTTGAATATCGTTACATTGTGACTACGACTAGAATATTAAAAAAAAAAAAAGTACATATTAAAAAAAAAATGTGACAAAATATCGGTTGATTCTGTGAAATTCTAGTTAAAAATAAACTATACAGTCACAGTTACGAATGTTACAACTGGTCGGTGAGCATGTTGGTGTTTATTATCCTACCAGAATAAAATCTCAAAACCAAGCAACCCACTGGTTTGGATGTCGTGGCCGCTGGCACGTCATTTGAACTTTCAAGCAAAACACAAAAAGACGTTCCACTTGTGAAGCATCAAACAATTTCTAATTCTGTTTGTAACGACCTGTTTCCGTTGCATTGTAATTCTCCTGAACAGGGGCACCATAAGAAGGGAAAAGTGGCCAACGAACATCAGGGGCCCTTGAAAATAGCATAAACATGAAGAGGACCAAAGTGAGATTTTTTTTGTTTGTTTGTTTGTTACAGAGCCCCAAAATCCCCGGGGCCACCCCTATTCCCGCAACAATATCTGGATGGACTTCTATTATGAAAAACAAACCTAAGCATGTGCCCCCCCCCCCACTTTTTTTTTCCAACAGAGACCAATTAAAAGTTGTATAGATTTTTCACAAAGACCAGTAACCATTCATCGACAACAAGGGGGTTGCATTACAAAAACAAGGAAATAAAAGTCCCGCCCCCGCCTCGACCCCCAATCTATCTGCGCTGGTCCGCGGATCGGAGGCAGGAGACCACGGACCTAAGCCACTCATTCACAGCTTGCTTCGCAACAGAGCCATTTAAATACCGATAGTAATACATGATAAGAGGTTCAAACCGGTCTGGAAAGGAAAAAAAAAATCTTGAGAATATTGTGTTCAGTATTGTCACTGACTGGTGCTGGAGCAATTGAAAGTGTCTCTTAGGCGTGTCGTCTTGTTGCTGAACTGTCTGGCATAACCAGTCAGACAGTGTGAGGGAAAAGCATGCCAAGTGACAGACAGAACATCTGGCAGTTCATCTAGTTACGAAACTGTCAGTTAACCCTCCCTTGTGGTCAAACAATGGTGGAGCAAAACCTGATTAAAAAAAAAAAAAAATTGTCCATTGTGAGTTTCTCCTGTGAAAGTGAAATTAAAACATTGCCGATGTGTCGAAAGCACAAGTTAGGATCGTGGGACTCCGGTTCCCTGCCAAAACACGCTTGGGTAATTAAAGACTGTAATTGCACAGAGGTGTGAATGTGAAGATGAATGTTTTCTCGAGATGCCTATCTAGCTGTCTCGGGTGTACCTTGGTCCTTGTCCAAAGTCTGCTGAGATCGAATCCAGTTACTTGCAGAGGGGCCCAGTCTGCCCACCAATAAGTATGCAGGCTTATAAATGACAAATAAGTGAATGTGTGTGTGTAAAAGTCCGACATTCAAAGTGAATCTGCAATTTAAAATTTTTTTGGGGTGTAAAATATGAACTCATTTGTAAATAACGAGGGCAGATGACTCTGCTTTAGTCCGGCGCTGAGAGCAGCAGTTTAAAACTTAAGCTAAGCGTTTAAAAAGAAATAAAACTGAATGAGGCGTCCTTGCAAATAGCTTCACTTTGCCACATTCAAAATGGCTGCGGCGCCGACGTACTGCGTCTATGTATACATTGTAAATGTTGTCTTTGATAATACTTGGCAGTCGGAATTTGCTTCGGGAATATAAACAAATATGTGGAGCAAAGTAAGCACTGTCTTGGAGGGCATTATTAATAAATATTAATAATTGAGGTGGGTTGCCAACAAATGTGGCACGATCGGTCTTTAAACCATTCATGATTATTGTATCAGAGTGTATTTGCGTGGTTCTTTCAACATTACGTTTACACACTCGTGTCATTCAGTTATGAGTAATGATGACGTTGCATAATTCAATTTAGTTGCACAGGCAATAGTATGTGCGGGAGGTAATTCTCTGCAAACTGAATAGAATTTGCTTCTATGTTATTGACGGTAAAGAAATATCTGCTAGGGTGCAAAACACCCACCTCCCATCCCAAAGAAAAAGAGAAAAAAATAAACAATAATGCAGAACAAGACCTACAGTATTGTTATCGGGTCATTTTGACAAATTCTTGGAATGGACTAAATTGCAAAACATACCGTACATTATGTTGTGATGGATCTCAACCGGTAGAAATATTCCTGAACTAGACCGTTTTAGCTCCTATTTGTGCACCCCTGATCAAATGGATTCCAACACAAGTATTAAAGGGCCTGTATCATGCCAAATCAACATTTATTTATTTTTTAGCTTCAAGCCATATTCAAATACAAATTCCTCACCAAACAGACCACTACAGTGGTATTTTTCCTTCATTCACCCAACTCTGAGCATTCCTGTTCATTCCTACTATTTAAGCACTAGCTCCGCCCACTCCAAGAAAACGACCGGGTCCTCAATTTTATACGTAATCATGAATTTTATCCGTATAAAATTGAGGGAGCGATCCCACATGCCACCCCTGCAGACTAAACACACGCCCACTTTCTCCAGCAGCCAGTGGAATGCCCGACAAGCATATCCGGGGAAGAGGCCCTATGATCAGCTACCTTGCCTCTTGTAGCTCCGGTGCTCCCAATTTTTTCTGAGTCCACTTCTGTGCACTCGCCCGCACGTGCGAGTCCGACGAAGGCGCGCTCCGAGCGGCCTCTCTGGCCGAGGCGCCGGCCCCGCCGGCTGGACCTCTGTGGGATGCCCAAAGAGCTTATCTGAGAAATAGGCACTATGAGCGGCCTCCTCGACCAAATTTATTCCGATTTTCGTGGGCGGTGCGCGCAGCATCAGCCACGGACGCATATACGAATTCATATATACGTCCGTGGCAGCGGGCAGCTTGAGGACAAGGTCGTGAAAGGGGCGTGGCAGCCACACGGAGAGAGGCGGGGTTTTCGTGAGCCAGGCGCCTGACTTCCGGGTTCGAAAAATAGCAACCGAAATAAATCATAATTCTGAAGAATTTAGCTCAGCATTGTGCTAAAGATAAAATATAATCAAATATACGGCTTTAGTTAACTGCGGAAGGCTTCAAATAGCATGATAAAGACCCTTTAAGCAATGCCTTTACTAAAGATAAGAATGTTGTTGTTGTTTGAATTGACACAGTCATATTCATTGACTAATCTATGTATAGCTATGGTTGTGTTTTTCTAGCGTTGTAGAACTGCAGATACTCTCGTTGTACGTTCATACCTTCTGACCAGCAACCTCTCTGGCTGAGCCATCTCTGTTCTCCGCGTTACCGGAACCCGTTGCCCTCTGAGTTCGTGACTTTCTCAGGAGAGCTTGATTCGAGGTCTCCTTTTCTTTCTCAAACGGTTTGGGTTTTGATTCCTCGTTCCCGTTTCGCCCCTCTTTCCCTTTGGAATCTCGATTGAATGTCTTTCGGATTCCACCGTCTTTACTTTTCACATCCTCCTTATCCCTCATTTTCACTTTCCTCTCAAGCCCCTGGCTTTCTTTGCTTGAGGTGTGCTTGTTTTTGTTGTCAAACAAAGCAACGTACGCACTGTAGTCTATGAATATAGGACTAGTGGCATCCTTATTAGATTTATTGCTTTGATCGTCCTCGGGATTCTGCTGATCTGCTGTACTGTGACCGGAGTGGGTCACTCTTTCAATGACTTGCTCTTTGCTTGGCGAGCCGCAGGATTCGACATGGTCCTCCGAGGTTGTGGAGCGATTGGAGTCTTCTCTTGAGCGATAGCCGTCACTTATGTCTGACGTAGGCGTTCGAAGGTCCGGAGAGAGCGCGGGTGGAGGTAAACTTGGAGGGAAGTCGTCAGAAGTGCGTCTGCCAGACGCGGTTGACCGCAATTGTCTCTCTGCTGATTGGACAGCTTTCTCTGGTTGGCGAGCGACTGTTTTTTCTTTTGGAGATTGCGGGCCGTCTTGTGAGACTCTTCGGGTGTTCTTCTTTGGCGAATTTGTGGTACTCTCACCGGGTTTCGCCGATGTGTCATCTACGCCATCGACCGGCAGCCCGACCGTAGCAGCTTGAATTCGCTCCCACATAGTCAATGGGGAACTTTGACCGTAAGTGATTCTTTGTGGTTTGTTTTCTTTGATGTGGTACGTTTTCATTTCCGATTGGGTTTCATTTGGGGTTTGGGGAGATTTAGGATCAGTGAGCTGTCTCGACGTAGACTTGCTTTCAGTCTTGACAAGGTCGTCCTGTGGTTTTGAACTTCCGTCACAGTCGACTGGCCTCACAGTTTTGATGTCACCTGAAGTGTTTTCTTGTGTATTCACGCCGTCTCTATTCGGTGCTGAAGTTGCCGAGGCATCCGACTGGATTTGTTTTGTGTTCCCGGAGCCCCCCGGAGTTCCTCCCTTTCCATCATGTAGTCCAACTAATTTATTATTTTGACTGTCTGCAGTGCTTTCCTTTTGTTTATTCTGTTGATTTTTCTGGAGGGCGTCACTCGTTCTGTCATCTTTCTGCACTCCCGTTTTTCTGTTGATAGTGTCGTGCGTGTTTTCCCCAGTGGACTTGTGGCTGGTGACTCTATCTGCCGTCGGGCTGTTCAACTTCTTATGAGTGCTCATATTTGGCGTGCCCAGGCCATTAGTGATGCTCCTGTCTTTGGTGGCTGAATGGACAGTGTGAGGTTGCAGAGTTGGATGATTTGGGCTTGAAGGTGAGGAAGAGGAAAGGTGGGAGGTGTCAAGAGTGTGACTATCCGGGGAACTTTTAGAGGTGCTACATGGCTGTGTATGATTAGCTCGCGTGAGATGCGGTGTTGTTTTCGTTTCGGTGCATTCTGTTCCCAGGTTTGAGTCACCGGTACTTGGCAGGTTAGAGACTTGTTTAGCAGGAGATGAACTCGTCTCCGTTTGTGGTGCTATTCTGGGCTTTTGTTCCGAGGCGTGCTCGAGATTACCGGTGCCGCTTCGACTCATGTGCTCTATGTTGCCGGACAAGGGCGACATGCGTTTTGTGATCTGACCTTCATTTTGACCCATTGGTGAGACTGTGTGAATAGTCTGCTCAAATCTAGAGGTGACCGAGTGTTGCTCAACTTTCTCAGCTTTTGTATTGGGGGAGTCCACTCGCTGCAACCTGTCATAGATAGACTCTGGAGGCTTGATCCGATCTTGTGATGGTGAAGGATTTGTCTTGTCCTCAATCGCAGAACTAATCTCTTTCGGCTTTGCAACCTCTGGCGGGGGTTCTTTCGGCGCGGTCAGAGGGTTTGTGAACCGAATGGCTTGACTGGTTTCAAACCTCTCGGAGCGTTGCAGATGCACTTGAGTCGGCTTGCTCGTATCCATGATGTTTATGAAACCAATGACATCACTGGGAGGGTCGGGTTCCGGCCAGGTGGGCAAGTAAGGGATCAAGTTTGCTTTCTCTAGATTGATCAGTCCAGGATGGGTGCAGTCCTCTTCTGGCACAGGTTCTTTACTTCCTCTTCCTCGCTTTCTCTTCTTACTATCTGGGACCTCCGGTGTCTGGGAGTCTTTGGGGGTGTCTTGTTCAGCAGAGGTAGAGTTAGCACTCTCTCCAATAAGTAAGGCGTACTTGGGGTTGTACAGTTTCCTTGTTATAGTCGCAGAAGGAAGGACTACGGGGGCGAGCTGCGGAAGGGGGTCGCGCTCAGGCTCGGGTTCCATGGTGACTTGTTGCAGATCAACAAATGTCGAGCTCATGTAAAGGTGGCGAAAGAGATGATCAAAGGCCTCCACTGCCTGCCCGGTAACCACGGTGACAAGATTTTTATCCAGTCGTGAGGACATCCAGGTGAAACTGCGGATTATTCAGAAAACACCAAAATTTACATCACAAAAAAATCGGATGACGGCTGACTACAAAAACTAAAACTATGACACAGTGACGTGCTGACAATGAGATGAATGGTTGTTTACAACGCGACCAAATACCACACCTGCCGAGATGGAAAAGGTTTAACTTGGCGTCAATGTTGAGTAAATTGCATTGAAAGACCACTTTCATTGTTGCCGTGTCACTCCTGAAGCACTGACCTAAAAGACCCGGACACGGCTTTGTCTCCATCGATGAACATGAATCTGTGTCCCAGTCGACCTTTCACCTTGGTGCAGGAACGAGTGTAGAACTCCGTTCCCTCTGTGCAGCGTACCCGAAGGTGCTATAATATACAGTATAAACACACACACACGTATATTTAGATGTGAATTATTGGTCATGTGCTCTATGTTAGTCAAACAAGGACAGTAACCAAAGCTTTTGCCATATTGAAGTCCCTGTAAATTAAAAATTAAATGACACAGGACAAAGAAGAGCGTTGTGAGCAAGCTTGCCAAGTTTGAAAGAATAAAACCCAAAAAATTCACAAGTACAGTATAAAAAAAGAGGAGGCTTCATAATCTGCCCCTCCCAGCTTTCAGATACTGCCGGTGTGTCCGCTGAACGTTCTGAAAACACACCCTGCTCAATCTTCATCTGCCAATGAACTACATGTGTCGTTACAGTATGTGCTCAAATTGCGATCCACACGTTGAGTGACATGTGCCGCCGCTGCGTTGAATGAACAGTTAACGTTCCCTGAAGTGTCTGTTCCGTGGACCCACACAGCGAGACAACACCTCGCGTGGCGGCGAGGGATTGGACGAGCGCGTTGCCGGTTCTCTTTTGCTAACGAGCTCATCAGTTCGCAATCCAGCGAACGTAATAGTTCGTTTTCCCCGAGGGCTGATTATTATGACAGATAATGTCATAAATAAGAGTGACCAAACATGCCCGCACTTTTTTCCACCCTATCCGGGCGTCCGCAGGCGTTTTCCAAAGTCATGAAACTGTCCCGCTTTAATACTTTTTCAAGGGATCAATAATCATGTTTTTAATTTGACCGACGTTTTGCGCGACCAATGACGGGAGGATCACGAGTTGATCGTCTGTGGATGACGCAGAATACTGGAATCACTCACTTCCTTTAACATTTGTGCGACAATAAATGCTGGAAGAAGCGTGGCCTGAGGCGCATTTGCGACGCAACTTTTATGACACCTTGCTCACTCGTCATCGGTTACGAGCGTTTATAGAGTTTATTGTTTTAATATTAATATCACAATGGTTTATAATAATGGGTTTTCTGCACTATAAGGCTCTTTACGCTGTCACTTAAATGCTTTTACAGCTTCAATATTGTGGCCATCAGGTTTTCTGCGTTTGTACTTTCCTTCTCCTTCAAATGATACATACCTTGAGATGTCCTGCGTGCATGCTAGCCCGCTGACACATTGACAGGAAATGAGGTAATGACGTGCTCTCCAACAGGATGTAGATAGCAACCTTCCTCCGAAAACCGGCATCGAGCAAATCTCTGAAGATGTCCACATCGGTGAAGACATCCATTACGACAGCAATCACCTGAAGAAACACACGCGCTCAAAGTAGATTAGCATCATTGATCACTTATGGGGACGTTCAAAATGCAGGAAGTCGGCATTCGCTACGCCTATGTTTGCACAATGTTTGAAACGAATGGGATTCCAGTGGTTCCGCAGGTTTGGCTTTAACTCAAGCTAGTGAAAACAGCAGTGAAGGGGTTTTGTCCGCGCACTCATAGCTTGCCGTCGACATCATCTGTATTTGCCATCACTTCTGAAAACGCCTTAAGGGTGTTGCAGGCGTGCTACGTTATAGCATGTCACAACTGTTAGTCACACTCTTCCCTAATGCGCGCTCATGCAAATATTACAAATACACCGCATGAAGGCACATTAAGTGTAAGGAAATTCCTGGGTGATTCTCAACTAGTGTGGCAGGAGGCAAACGTTGGTGGCGGACCCATTAGAGGTGGCTTGTGAAGAAGTAGAACTCGTTTTATGGTACGGATACACAATATTTTTAGTTTACCAACGGCGTGCAACGAACTCGTTTTCTGGCTGATATATGAATATTTACAATAAGGCACATATATGCACAATAAGGCATGCTCTGTTTTAAATGTAAGGCCTGGAAGTGTTTGCCATATGAAAATGAATTTCATGTGAGATTTTGTGTAATTCTGTATTGCGTGAGAGGCTACAGCGCAAAAATGGGTTATGCCTTAAGAATGGGTCTCAGTCGTAAACCGAGGACCGCCCGGAGAGTCCAATATTTTGCGTGCGTCTGAGGTCTGACTTGCCCTTTATTATCAATAATTTTTATTTGATAGGCTTGGCTCATAAACGTCGGGTATAACTGCACACGTATTCATATTTGAGACGCGTACCATGCCATGTTCCTACACAAAACATACTCGGTAAACAGAAGAAAGAAATCAGTGCCAAGTTATGAGTGACATTTTGTGGCCATATTTGGTGATCATTCGTAAATTTTGGGACAAGCCATCGTCATCAGCTGTTCTGAATCCAAAAGGCACTTTGAACACGTGAGCATGTCGTGATGTTTAAAATACGATAAAACGCATCTTTTCAAACCATTTTTTCCCCCGATCGTTTTTCACTTGCGTAAAGAGTCGGCAGCAATAAGGAATGCGGAACCGAGGGTAACTGCTGTAGATATCACTGATGAAACATGTTGCACTTTACACTGTCTCACTGAGTTACTCGAGTCTGGACTCTGATCTCAAACTGACAGCAGTCGACAAAATGACTGCTTCATGTTTTGTATTGCAAATGAAAGTTAGTAAATACACCATAGTCGAATCGAACCCATGCCCGTTCCTGTCGCCGCCCTGTGGAGTTTGGTTATTTGTAACCCCTGTGATGAAGTTTGGGCTGGTTCACTTGTTTGCTGTAACCGTGGATGATGTGGAGCCGGTGCTCATCACGTTCAAGGTCAGACTGCTTTGAACAAATTCTTGTCGGTGGCCAATTTCAAGTCATGAATGTTTTTTTCTTTGTGCGAGGAAGGATTTTCAAGAATGTATGGGCTGAAATGGCAGGAGAAGTGCTTTACCATTTCAGGCATAGTTTTGGCCTTCTGTTACATCCAAGATCCGACAGCGGCTGCGGTTAGCGGTCATACCTGTTCGTTTTTTTGCAACCCTCTCCCAGCTGCAATTTAGAGGTTGTCTGACAAAGAATGGCTGAGGTAGCTCACATCAAGTTCCCTGGCAGTGCTCTTATACAGTGGTTGGTTTTTCACACACAGCCATCAAACTTTCAAGATAGATTCCTTTTAGAGCATGTCCAATAAATTATACCGCACATGTTTAATGGGGCATTATTAATTAAAGAAGGTGGTGTTATAGACAGAGGTGGCAAAAGTTATTATACGCTGTACACAAAGTAAAAATACAGATACTTGTGTAAAAGTATGAGAAGTACTGATTCAACTCTACTTTAAAAAAAACTTTAAAAAAAAGTTTGTTACAAGTAAGACAGAAATTTCAAACTTGCTTTGTTGTTGGGAGTAAATAAAAAGTCGTCAGAAACATACTTTAAAATCTACTTTAGGACGGCTCCTACCAGCTTCACCGTGTTGCAACACCACACTGCATGGTTCTGTATATTGTTACCATGAAATTTCCATTTTAAAAAGTAAAGTTAAACAAACGCGCCGTGCAGTTTGCTAAGAAAACGGTCATGTTAAGTGCATGCAAATTGCGCTGTACAAGATGACGGGTCATCGCACCTTTTGCGCGTGAGCGATCATCCTTCGGACAATCTCCTTGATGTGGGTCTGCCCTTCCAGCGGCGGTTGCGTGTACACGGTGGTGCGCGTCACCCCGCGGTAAGCATCAGTGTGCGGCCAGCCCAAGTCCATCTGGGGGATGGACATGTCCGACAACTCCGGCCAGTAGTGCACCGACAGCGGGGGCTCGTTTTCATCGGCATCCTCCGGGAAGAGCTCCGAACCGGGGTCATACGGTTCCACCGTCTTCGTGAGAGTTTCCTGCTCCAGGTCCGAAAGGAAGCTCCGCATTTGGCGTTCCTCCACGAACTTGAGGAACGCTTCGCGACCTTCGCGGAGCAAAACCTCCAGGGCGAGCCTCTGGTCCTCGCTGTACAAGAAGTCCGGCTTAGACTCGTTTGTCCGCGGGTTCACGTGGTTATCGTCCAGGCACTGAATTTGAGACAGAGCCATAATGAAACTCAAGATATTCGGAAAGATCAAAAACAAAACGTAAGCTTCCAACAAGTCGACGAGACCACTTTAGTGAACTCCGGTATCCTCCTGGCTGCGGGGAGAGTTGTCGTTTGAATAACAACAGCGGGACAGTATACCTCCCGGCTGGCTAAAAAACACTCCTAACACTCGGATGTAATCGTAAAGAACTGCCATGTTACATTAGGAGCTTCCCATTGCCTGGAGAGTCATCTCATGATGCGGAGGACTCAGCCCGGGCCGGCCGGCGATCGAGCGCGTGGGTGACGCCTCTTCCCGAGGCACCGCCCGACAGGTGTGATTCTGGCTGCGAAACAGACACACCTTTCACCACGTGACCCACAGCGATTTGCAGCACTGGGTGTGCGCTCTATGGGGAAAAGGATTGTATTAGAGGAGGAACTGAGTTACAAAGGCACCCAACCCCGTTAAAACATTCATTAAATCATTAGTGGCCCTGCTGAAAACCAACAGTAGAAGCCTCCGGCACTGTTATTATACCCGTTCTGCCAAGAATCACCCTTGCTGCGCGAGCATGGGAACGTCAGAGAAAAGGATCGAAGTGAAGCATACCAGCATATGGCAACGTGTACCGTGTTGTTACACAAAAAAAAAAATTAAAGGGGAAGTCAAGTCATTTTTTTTTCTTTACAGTTTGTTCTACCCGCCCCACTCGTGTAAACACAACATCCTGGTTTATATTGCGTTTGCGGAATATGAATTAAGCAGCAAAATCTGCCCATTGTTATCCATCGGTGGCGGCGGGGGGCATCTTGCTGTCAAGTGAAAAAACGCTGAATGATGTCAATGCGCGCAGTGTGGAGACTTCTGCCACAAGATTTCACAAGTGGCCGAGTTTAGCATTGTTTAATCACAATATGGATCAGTGGCTGCCAGTGACGTCATATTGGGGTGAGTAGTTTCACTCTCAGTGTGACATTTCCATTAAACGTGTATTTAAATCCCTGAAGTCACGTTCATGCGGCCCCCCAAAAATGTGGTGTGGCTGAGATATTACTTGTACACTTGTGTTGCCAGACCCAAGTGAAGGTACGGTGGCCCCCTGAAGGGAGAAAAGAAGTCCCATTTTGCGCCGAGCTCCATTAAGTTAAGCTGTAATTATGAATTCTCATGAATCAAACCTGCATTTCAGCTGTCGCATTGATAGTCTGTAGTTAGCAGTAACAATGTTGACTACTTTCTGTCGGTTTGCAAATGTTTTACAGGTAGGCAATTGTTTTCCTCAGGAGCTGGCAACCCACATTTTGCCACAGCTGGTTGCATGTTTGAGCTTCTAATCAAGAGTGAGCGGGCCATCACGAGTTAAAAAAAGAGGCCATGTTTTTTTTTTTTCTCCAGCTTGAAACGTCCTTGAGTAAGTTCAAAAGAGGCAAGATCAAATGCAGCTGACTTGATTATCATGAGTGTGTTTTGCTTTGTCATGCAATTCAAAGTCATAAGACAGCGAGGAGCAGTAGAATCAGTGGTCAGCATGTGATCCTATATCACTCTGTGTTTGTGCGTGTTTGTACACAAAATTTGGATCTTCCAATTTCATCGTTAAAATCAACATACACTTTTGTGGCCCCTTAGAGACCCAGTAGGCCGACAAGAGATGTCGCAAACAGAATCTCAGGGGTCTGAAAATTTGCTCGGTTGGCAGCCGGGCATCAAATTAGGCCTGATGATCGGCTTGTATGCCCTGCTTCAGCGATGTGGTAGTGCAGAAGCAGCCTTTCCATTTCCCCTGCTTTCATCGGATTCTACAGCTCACGAAAGAGCTCTTATTAAATAGTGCTAAACTGCCAATCTCACCTTTGATTTATTGTTTGAGCATGACGTGCACTGCCAGCAGGTAATAGTCCTGTCAGTAGACTGCTCGAGGCGACCAGTCACTCCAACTGGTTTCATGCTTTTTGTTGCATTTGGCTTCACATTCCAGGAATTATCATTGACTTCTCAGCTTTGACACTTTCCCATCTCCCGCCTCCCACTTTGTTACTGTCACCTATTGTTGATCTATTGCTTCCCCTCCCTGCATTCCTTTCTTTTTTATTTCTCTTCCACATTAGTTTCTCTTTCACTGCAACCCCATTTAACTCCGTATATGCTTTTACATTTTGCCCTGTGTAACCGGGTTCTTCTGTGTGTTGTCGTGGTGATGTCAGCAATGAAGCACTATTCACCGTCTCCCGTCTCGTGTGTGACACAAATATGACACGCAGAAAGAGCGCTTTATTGTCTCTCGTGCTTTCGAGTGACTCAGCAAAATTCATTTGAAAGCGCAAATGAAGTAACAGCTATTTTTGGAAGACCTTTTGACTCTTAAATGCATCCAAACTCCAAATGAGATGTGCAGGAACATTTGAAGAATATCATAATTAGAGTGTAGTGTAAGTAAATCACAAACAAAGAGAAAATATAAGTGATGCAGCCGAAGGGAATTTCCGCATGTGACCTGGTTTTCTACTCCAGTTGAAATCTGACATCCTGGTGAGAGAAACTGCACCACATTCTTCACATAGCACCAGTCAACTGACAACTGGCATGCATTTTGTGTGTGTGTCTGTGTGTGTCTGACTCGGTGTTATGTGTGTAATCCTAAAATTTCAGCTCACTGACTCAAAGAATGACAGAAATTTTAAATGAAAACATTCACCTTTCAATCTTCCAGCTAAACCCATGGTACCCTCACTTCACTAATGAAAACCAGTAGGCTACAGCCATCTTGCAACCCAACATTTTTTAAAGCGCATCCAGACAGAGTTTCTTTAATATTTAGGATATATTATTATTATCCATCCATCCATTTTCCTATCCGCTTATCCTCCATTAACCTTGTCATGCATGTTTTTGGAATGTGGGAGGAAACCTGAGTAATCGAACCGACAACCTCTACACTGTGAGGCCGGCGCGCTAACCAGTCGACCACCGGGCCACCCTATGCAACAGTTCTTTCCATAAATCACTCAGTGTTCACATTAAAAAAAAAAAATCGCTTCTATAGCCTGGTCGTATCAGCATCGGCTCCGCCCCTCTTGCATCACCGCCAATGTGGTTCCTCCATTACTTTGGTCCCATGTCTTCCACAACTGAATCTTCGTAATCAGCGCGAGCCGTATTTAATTGCCAGCCCTCTTTCATCCCGTCCCGCTGTAAATGTGCATTCACAAAAGTCATCAGAGGACTCCGTGTGCCTGTTTTAAAAACAGCCTTTTATTTCATTTGCAAACTGCAATGACATGACTTCCTTCCACAACTTAAAAGCACTGAGTTGAATAATGTTGATCAGTCATCTCAAGCAAGGAATACACATATCGATGATTGGATCTAATTTGAGCGTGAACAGTCCGACTGGCAAGTCTCATGTAATGTTTTTCAGCATTCATAGTGCCGCTTTCCAGAAACATGGTGGATGCACTGTGCCAAAATGGTACTGTAATGTTTTGGCCTTCGGTCAAAGTGGTTACGATTAGGATCAAAATGATCTACTAGTTAGATGACTTTTGTACAAAATTCTGCTAAATGTATGGCAGTGGCCTGGTCCGTAAAGTAAAGGGCTGCTTACATGATCGCACCAAACACACAGACGCATGCGTTCCAATTTTCATTTGTGCACGGCCAATCCTGTCGACACAGAATGCCGCGTCCTGCTCCATAGAAGTGTGCTGTCTATTTTCAGACCACTCGGTCCAAATATTCAAAACACAATGACACTTGTGTCCCTCAACTTGACAACAAATTGATGAGTGGGTGGGCTGATTCCTCTGCCGGGTTCCTCTTAACAAACTGGTTGCATCATCCTTTTGGTTCAATTCGACAAATCCTAATGATTTTGGATTATTAGGCCTGCAAGTATTTGATTGTGAGTTTTCCATCACGGATGGTGCCACTGATGTAACATTTCTAGGTAGGTGGAGATTGCGGGCCGGAGTAGCTGTTGTGCCAGTCACAGCTGATTATTAGGCAGACGTTTTGCCCAGGATGTGGTAAACAGGAGTTTTAAAATTTATTATTATTATTATTTTTTTTATGATTGCGTCACTCATCACTCGGCATGCCATCTGCTTCAAAGATGCCTGGTAGCCAAGAGCGGTGGAAGTGTGTGGGCTCACTGGCAGTGGTAAACAGGCTGGACATACTCCGGGGGAAAGTAGCCCACGTGTCCATGGCAACGGCCCCTCCAGCGCAGTGTGTCGGAGCAGTCAATGAGCTCGATGACGTCTCCCCGCAGGAAGCGTAGCTGCGAGGGGTGGTGAGGGTTGAAATCGAAGATAGCGTGGGCGTGGTGAGGACGCTGTGCCAAAAGACCACGAGAAAAGATGGAGCAGGAAGTAGCAAGCGGAAGGAGAAAGAAGGAAAAGATCAGTCTTATGAAACTCAAAATGGCTTCTTGACTATTTGCACACATAGGATGTTAGTAAACGTGTATCTACTCCTTACATGGACTGTCGTATACACAATAAAATGTCAGTTCTTCTCATTTTGTGTCTATTTGAAACGACATTTCCGTGGGCTCATATTTTACCGAGTATCGTGTTTGTACTGATAAGTTTGTCGGACACTTATATGTCAACGTTCCATCCACTCATTTTGTTTAGCACTTGTCCTCATTAGGGTCACGAGTGAGCCGCGATAAATAACTCAACAGCAGAGGTAGTTTTAGCCGAGAAAGCAACACAGAAGCAGGACAACACATTCAATAAATATTCAGTTGATGACTAATAACTCTCAGGAGTGACTGACTGACGTATTCCGGTTGGGCATCTGTCGGTGGGGGGGTGGTGGGGGTGGTAATATGTTTAGACAAGTAGCAACGATGTAGATGAGATTGAAATGGACAGGTGACAGTCGCTTTGGACTCAAATAGATTTTATTTCCGGCAGTGATTTAGACTCATTTGAAATGAAGTCAAAACCAAAACCAAAACAAAACAACAGTTGAGGCACACCTAGAAACTAACATGACACCCACTAAACCCGAGTGTTATTTTACTGTACCGAAAGACTTTTTTTTTTTTAATGTCCAGTGAGCGTAACAGTGAGTGAATTTTCAGTTTTATGTTTCTTGTGCGCTGATTCTTCGCCCTGCATTCCGTGTTGAATAATAAATGAATGAACTTGTGAGGCAAAGAGACATCATGGCAGAGAAGGGCGGTGCGTCATATTTACATCATGAATGCACACAACGTGGTTGATAAAAGCATTTTGTTGAACATATGACATATTTCGTCA